AAATATTAACAACCACTTACAAAGCCATCCACAACTCTGCCCCCGGCTATATCTCAAACCTGGTCTCAAAGTATCACCCTAGCCATCCCCTCCGCTCTTCAAAAAGACCTCCTGCATTCCAACTCTCTCATCAACTCCTCCTATGCTCGCCTTCATGACTTCACTAGAGTCTCTCCCATCCTATGGAACAACCTGTTTGTCTATCTCCCACACTGACTGCCTTTAGGTGATCTCTTAAGACTCATCTCTTCAGGGAAGCCTATCCCACCTCAACCCAACCACTGAACATTCACTTTCTCAAAGAATTCATCCCCACACAGCTACCTCCTCATGTATCACTTGCACCTCCCTTTTAGATTGTAAGCCCTCACGGGCAGAGCCCTCCTTACCATCTTGTCTTGAATTGTATTGTGCTTGTAATGGCTTTCTTATATTGTAAAGCGCTGAGCAATCCTGTATAATAATAACAATAGTAATATTAATTTATGGCAAAGCAGAGGTTTTTGATATAACTGTATTCCACTAGCCAGAAATATTTCAAATCAATGCTTGTATTCTCATAAAAAAGTTTGGTAATATAAAATGAACCAAGAACATATCTCCATAAAGCCAGGAGAAATACTATCTTTGACAATTATGACTTAGACAGATATCTACATTCAGAAATGTTGCTTTATTTTTTCCTTCCACTGTTTTGGTGATGGTCATTTGTGTGACAGACTCACACATTCATCACAGTCATCTGGACAGGAAGTGCAAACAAATCTCCCAATGAGGACACAGCTGTAAATACCTGACATAGTTTGTAACACTGCCCTACTAACAAATGGCTGGAGCACCACTTAAAGAAAAAATATGACAGGCATGCTCAGTGATCAGTGTTTGAGCAATTATGTAGATAAGGACTTCTGACCATGACCCTGTTCCAGGTCACTAACTCAGAAAGCACTGAAACCAGTAGACATACTAGCTGGGCAGCTTGCAGGCTTATTTTAACCAGACTGATGTGCTTGAAGTAAATATGCGTTTATTGGTCTGGCATAAAACTGATGACTCCTTAGCAATTAACCAGTTGACATCCGCGGTGTTAAACCCCCTTCCCATCCAGGCCATTTTTCAGTATTCAGCGCTGCGGTACTACGTTTCTACCAAAGTTACAGGTATGTGATGGTCAGAGACTGCAAACATGTTATAGGAATTCTTGGAGACTGGGAACATGCTTTAGGAGACAGCCATAGACCGGAGACACATTACTCAAGACTTCTAGAGATCATGGCTTTTAAAGCCCCTTTTGCAAATCAAATTCCATATCAATTTCATATTTGGGCTCCCTACAGCCCCCTTAAAATTAATTTTGTCACAGATATATGAAGATATCTCTCAACAAGATCAATTATAAAAGATCAGAGGCAAAACAACATCAAAAGGATAAAAGGGATGAATAGAACAAAAAACTAAGTGAAAGAAATAAACCAAATAATTTACCTACTAAGAAGTCAATCTAAAGAATATTTTTGTCTTCACTGGCTTCATTAGGTACCTGGGTAAGGAAAACAAAGACTATTGTCTACAAAGTTCCTCAGGGCCACACATAAGTGCCAAAGGTCCACATGTGCCCCCCAGGCAACAGATTGAGCACCAGGGGTTTAGACAAAGCAGGAAACTTCAAAGTAACATATTTAAAGGGTATATCCAATAGTACATGCGTTCTCTGTTTTAGTGATCCATTATTGCAAGTTTAGGATAAATCACCTCAGTTGTTATCTTTATCTTTTGTTAATTACTGAAATTATACTCAGTCATCGGCATGCCGAGTCAGACCTGTTTTTCAAACCAGATTTCAGCATATTTTGTACTGCACATTTACAGGCTATGTATACACTTTGATTTACTATGACAAATAATTCTGCATAATTTATTGATGTTTTGTGCTGTCCTAGACATTTTTCTCTGTTTATGTATTGCATGTTTTTTTATGTTATTTAAAGTATATCTAAAGCCCAAACTTTTTTCTTTAATGTTGTATAGTAGGGAAAGTTGAAACCCCTGTCAACTTTTTTTTTTTTTGCCATCTGTGTCCCATTGAAGAGATTTCCCTCTCTTCCTGGATTGTTGACAAAAAGGAAGTGAAAAGAAACCTCTGCAGGTCATGTGCTTGACTGTTTTGTATTGCACTGTTTTATGAATACTTGTTAAAATTTTAATAAAAATATTGAAAAAGAAATGAAACCTCTCCAAAGCGAGGAAAAACTCCTTCCAGACAATGATCACCAGAACAAGTGTTCCCATCTAAAGATTTCGCCTTGATACCTGTTGTGGGGACAACTCAAAACTTTAGGTTTCTCTTACTTTCAGTTAAGGTAACGACTTTCAGTCCAGGTAGCAATCTCGGACAAATGGAAAGGGTGAATTTCACCAATCAGGCCATGGACAGCAATTATATATACGTCCCTACTGTATTTAAAACTCGCAAATTTGAGGGCTTTAAATACACCTTAAAATGGAATTACAGGCAAACAGTTAAATATGTTGTTGGAATAACTATGGGGTCTATGCACGAAGCTGCCGAGGGCAGCCGAGTGAATGACCGGCTGCGCCGATCGGCTGAGCCGAACCTCCGGCAGGCTACTCACTGCTGTCCGGGCTATTCCTAAAGATCCCGAACAGCAGTGAGTGAATAGCCGAATGCCGCCAAGCGGCATTCGGCTCGGCTATTCTGCTCGGTCCCTCAGAGGTACCGAGCAGAACAGAAAAAGAGTGAAAAAAGTTTAAAAAGTAAATAGCAAACGAGTGTGCGGAGCTAGCAGTGACAGCTAGCTCCGCCCAATAGTTTCCTATTGTCCGGCGGCTCTGCTGCTGTCAAAAAAAAAATTAAAAAAAAACTCTCCCGGGCGCTCTGGGAGCCTCCCGCTCCCGGCCGCCCAGGAGAGAAACACTGATGTGTCTTTTTTTCTTTATTCTGATACGAGCGATGTCAGAATAGAAAAAAAAAAAGAATTTTCCCATTGAAAAGCATTGGGACATTACTATTGACTATGTAACTATGTAATAGCCAATAGTAAACTAGCAGTGTACCCGCCCTCTGCTGATGGACCTGATGGGGAACTGCAGCAGAGGGCGGGTACAATGCTAATTTACTATTGGCTATTGCAAATTGAAATAGCCAATAGTAATGGCCCAATGCTTTTCAATGGGAAAAAACATTTTTTTTTTGTTCTATTCTGACATCGCTCGTGTCAGAATAAAGAAAAAAAGACACAGTGGTGTTTCTCTCCTTGGCGGCGGGAGCAGGAGACTCCCGGGGCGCCAGGGAGAGTTAGCTGTTTGGAGATCAGTGTCCCTGGTTAGCAGGTAACCAGGGACGATGATCTCTCTGAAAGTGTCCGGAGCCAGCTGTAAGATCACGGCTGGCTCCGCCCAGCTGTCGGAAGCAGGCTGTCGCTCGGCCAGCTTCAGCTTTCAGCGCGGCTCAGCTGAGCCGATGCATATGCGTTCGGCTCGGCTGAGCCGCTCGGCCATGATCGGGAGCTGCACGGGCTATTGTGAATAGCCCGTACAGCACCCCTTCGGTTCTACTGAACCGAAGGGGTACTGGGGCCGAAGCTAGCCGAAGGATCAGCCGAAGGTGTGGTCAGATCCTTCGGCAGCTTCGTGAATAGACCCCTATGTCTCCTGTTTTACATGGCAAAGGTTTTGTAATTCTTTCAACCAGTCTTGTGATACAAACACATTTGGAATAATGCACAGCCAGGTAACTGACACATTTACTTCCTACTTCAGCAATTCAACTTCCTGGTTCAGAAATCTTCCTGTGCCCCTTCACAGCCTTCAGCCTACTGATTGGACAATGCATCAACATTACCACCTATGTCAAATGTTCAAGGAAATGACCTGGAAAGCAGTAAAGCTGACCCAGGAAGAATGGATGCTAAACCCGGAAATAACAATACAATATTACAGACTAGTAGAGATGTGTATATCACAAGAATGACTGGCTGAACTGCAAATTATTTTACAGGTAAAACAGTAAACATGTATGTATATAAACTGTGTATTTAACTGGTTGTCTGAGCTTCCACTTTAAGAGTGAATATTACATGCATCCCCATCATTCAAAATATGAGCATCATGCATTGCTGACATGTATGCAAGGCAAATGTAATGAAGATGCAATCTAAAGTGGATGGCATTTCAAAATGTCACTTGCAGGAGCACTGCAGGCAAAATCATTTATGGCAGTACATGCATGTTGATTTCATTACCATCTAGTAAGCACTAAGCATGAATGGACTGCTGCTCCTTATAATAAGAGAGTGGGTCAACCCTCTGCAGGTCTCCCTGATCTTGCTACAGAGGTAAGTCAGAATCAAAGTGGCACATATTATAGAGTAGATAGAGATCTTGCAGCATTTTACAGCTCTTTAAAAGGTGAATCCAACAGATAGCAAATCAACCATTATCTGAAGTTGTGTTCTGAAGGGCCAGTACAATGTAGTGGACACTGGCTCCTTTAGGAACAGCTTGCAAAAGTCACTCAGTCTTTAGAGTTGATTTACTAAAGAGTAAGGACTGTTCACGCAACAAAGGGAATGTTCACTTTGCAAAGATAATTCTTGTAAATAGGGTGAACTATGTTCACTTCAAATACCCAATCATGTGCGAATAATTTAAAAAACATGATGTACAGTATATTCAAGAAGAACATAGGTTCACCTTAATTGCTAACATTCCCTTTCCTAAGTGAACAGCCCCCTACTGTTTTAATAAATCAGACCCATAGACTACAACCATGTAATGGGTCATATAACCTAATAAAGTACACAGTGGTTAACATTTAATTTAAGAAACTTAATTCACAATCTTAACATATTCATAATTTTCACAATTATGGACTACAACATCAATGAGTTCTATTTTTAGTTTAGTGCTTATTATATTTATTTATAGCATAAGAAATATTTTACAAAGTTTCATTGTCAAACAATATGTGCGCATTGGCTTTATACATTGTTAAATATTACAAAATATAGTGTATCCACTTGAATTGTTAAGGAACAGTCAAATTTACATAGCCCATGAAATATTGGCTGTGTGTTCTTTAGCTTTCATTCGGAGAACGGCAATACTGGATGACCGCCTTTCAAACTCAGGTTTAGGTTCAAAGGAATGTCCATTTGTAGATCCTGATAATAATGATTCAGTGAAGAAATTGTTAAGTGGCATATGACTGAACTGATTCTGGTGATTTGTGAAGCTGGCATATGAAGAATCTGTACGAGGAGAGTGAGAATAAGGGGACATACAAGAAGAAGGTTCTCGAGGCAGCATACAGGACGTCACCACAGATCCTCCAGTTGGATTCCCCGTCCACAAGTTGTTCTGAATCTGTTAAGAAAAGTAAATGTGAAATGTTGATGAACTAAACAAATCCATAAATATGTGGCTTCAATTAAAGTGATTTGGAATGAACATATTAATATTGGCAAAAAGTCTATACACACACACACCATTAAAAGTCATCAATATTTCAGAATATATTTAATGACAGAGCTGAATGGTATGTAGTATGTTATGTCACACATTTTACTGCATAAGACATCCATCACATTTTGAGAGCAATTGTTAGATTTCCAGTGTCAGTCCAACATTCTCATGAGCAAAATCTCTGTTAGTGAAAGAGATCAGAATTTACAAATAAAATGCATGTTATCTTCCATCCACAAAAAGGATTTTAGGTTCTAGTAAGGTAATAAGAAAGGAAAAATAAGCAATCACACACATCAGGGGAATTTATCAAAACTGGAGCAGACAATATCTGGAGCAGTTGCTCATGACAACCAAACAGTTTCTCTCTTCAGTTTGTTCAGTTAAGATTTGAAAATGGAAGAGAGATGCTGATTGGTTGCCATGCACAGCTGCTCCAGATTTTGTCAGCTCCAGTTTTGATAAATCCCCCCCATTGCAGGGTTTATCAGATTTGTGTATAATGATAAAACTGGATTTCTGTTTAGTTTTGGCGAATTGCTACATTTTGTACATTTCTCTCTGTGCCCATTAAAGGGCTTTCCTAACAAAATGAATGCATTTCTGAATGAATGAGTATGAATATATTTATAATCAAGAAATCTAAAGCTGTAGACTTATTTTTGTGAAGTGCTACTATTACAATTAACAATGATTTCAATAACAACAGTATTGTGGGTTTACACATATCTTGGTACAATTAAAGAATCACAGAAGCTGATGATTGGAACAGGCATGGTGGTTTTCCAGTTCATATAATAATTAATTTGCATAATTTGCCTTTTCATGATTCTCTGAATGGACAAACATGATTAAAGCATTATTAGCAACAAACATGTGTTGCAATAGTAGTCCTATAAAATCCTGGTAAAATTGTATAGCTTTAAAACAGCAGATAGCTGAGGGGTACAAATGCTTATTCCATTTTGTAAGCAACTAGTAGCAAAAAGCAGGTAAAATACGTTTTGTCTGTCTGGAAAACCATACTGTGAAAAACTGTCCAACTAGCCAGGGATGAATGCAGTCTATATATGAAGCTCATCTGGCAACTGTGCAAGTATCAGAACTTTCATCCAAAAGACAAAAAACATTTCATGTATGACCACCAGAAGTCCCAAATGATGCATAAAGTAGATGTGATCTAGCTTTTTAGTTCCAACTTCCTTTATATTACTGCATTCTCCTCCAGCATTCTATGTAATGAAAGGTTTGGTCACTTCTGCATGATTATCCTTAAGTTGGCAAATATTAATAGCTTATTCCACACTTCCCTCATATAGATACACCATGGGATAACTAGTGCCTAGTACAGTAGTTTTTCTGCACATGCTTGTTCCAAAATATACTTTTAAAAAGAAAAGTTGTTATTTTTTTAAAAATGTAAATGTTCTGTGAATTATAAAGATGGCAACAACAATCAATGATTCACACAATAAAACCACAAACATGTGTACTTCTTTCACCAATAGCTCTCTGAAGTGCAAGACAAGTTTTGTTTTGTGTAAGTAAAAGGGGAGATGGAGCAATATTACTGATAGAGTATATAAAAAAGACAAAGAAGAAATGAAAACAGATGTCCTGGCTGGAAAAGTTTATTTCAAGCAATACTTTGCCAATAGGAGCCAAGTTTTACCAAAAAAAGTGCCCAAAGGTATAAAGGTATCTTATACTAAACAGTTTATTCAAGAGTCAACAAAGCCAAAAAACCTGCAGTAAAATACTTCAGATCTCAAAGAATTTCAGTTACTGTGCCTGGAGATTTGGTAACATTGATCTTATTTTCCATCTAAATGCTAGTCAGACATTGAGTTCCTTTTTCACAGAAGAAAATTGTTTGACAAAAATAAACAAAACATAGGCACAGTCCAAACAAAATACAGTTAAAAGAACATCAAAAAGGGGAGAGGAGTATATCTATAGCTGTAATGTGCATTAGGTGCTTACTTAACAGCAAGCACCACTTAGGAATAAAAATGAGGTTTTGAATATACGAGTTCAGATTCACTGCCCTGAAACTAGTATGCAGTCCAGGAGTCAGTGGAATTTTTCATCAAGGATGTCTAGAAAAGCTAGTTTCCTTAGTAACATTGCCATTAAAGGGGCCCTGTGCTGCTGCATAAAGGGTTTATGTAGAACACCTTTTTCTCTAACCTAGAGAACTTCCAAAGTGTTTATTAGCTAAGCCTACCTTGTTAAGAAACTTTCATATCAGTGTTAGAATATTAGTAAGCACTGCTACTTCTTTACACTTATTTTACTCAGAACTTAGTAGGTTTGAAGGTTAAGTGCTGTTCTTTGTTCTGTAAAGATTGGGTTTTAGGTTTTACTAATATCTGGGGCAGAGCTACAGAAAGTTCCCCTCACTTCATGTCCTGCTAACAAGGTTTTACCAGACAAGAAGAGAGGTGAACTCTCCAACAGCAATACAGACAGAAAGAAAAATCCTTTTTTTTAATAAAGTAGAGATGTCTAGAACTGCTGTCTGATTATTTTTTCTGTCTATTTCCTGCCTAGTAAAATTAGTCAGCAGGGCAGGAAGGAAGGATAAATCTCTCTAATGGAGGTCAGTATATAAGAGAAAACCCAAGAGGAGTTTTAATCATACCCCTCTATTCAAAACTACAAAATAAATGTTTGGCTTGACATATGCTTTAATTTAGTAAGGCAGTAGAGAAGTTTCACTTTGCAAAGTGAATACTCACTTCGCTTTGTGAACGGGATTATGTTGTGTTCCCTTCAATTATGTAAAAATCCTATTTTTTTTTTTTTTTTTTTTTTGTTCTTTTCCTTGCACATGGCAATGCAAAGTGAACACAACTGACCTTATTTACTAACTGAACAATCAACCCCACTGTGTGGATGTGCCCAAAAGGATCCAGCTACTTGACCAGCTCAACAGGTAGCTAAATCTGCAACCAGGCCATATACACATCAATTCATACACATGTGCATCTGTAAAATCTGGACATTCAGAAAAAATAGACTTTCAAAATGTAAAGGGACTTGAAGAAACAATTGTGCCCTAACCTGACAGACACTGTGATCTTACTAGCAGTATATCATTCTCTTCTCATGCTGGTTGTAAAGGAGTGATTTTTTTATAGCTATAGTGTACTCACAATAACATTTCAGCAGCTGCCATGTACAGTATATTATGAATTAACGATTCATTTCTCGATTAATCGTTAAAAGTTTCGATCGATTACCATTATTTTGATCAAAGAAGACACATCGCCCCACTGCGTTCCTCCCTGGACTGAAGGCAACCCCGGCGTGTCATAGTTAGACGCCGCTGCGTTCCAGGGTGGAACGAAGCGGCGCTGTGGAGCGTCATACGGCTCCTCCTCCTCTCACCGCTGCCACGATAAGACGGGGCTGGGAGTTTTGGATGGTGTTCCACTGTTGTGGAGTGAGCGCCTGCAAACTCCCGAACCCCCTGCAACCACAACCACCAGGACTGCTGCTAGGAGGACCAGGGGTCTCAAGCCAACAATTTTTGTTTCCAGTTTGTTTACCTGTGGGTAGCTTTCACTCCTGGGCAGGACAGAGATATCATAAGTGGCAGCAAAGTGGCTTTTGGCTTGTTGTATCTGACCATAACGTTCTCTCTTTCTCCACTTAGCTCTGCGGTTTTGGAACCAAACCTGATAAAGATAAACAAAACTTCTCAGATTTGTGATAAATGTATTAACCACTAAATTATCAGATCACTACATGGCAGCATTTACTTTTCCATAACTATGTCATAAGACAACAGGAATGTTTGCAAAGGTATATTTTCAAGACCTTTCAGATTGCTTGTGAGCCTGGCAGCTTTACCCCCCTAGACACCGTTTAACTAAATGGTGCCTTACAAATAAGAAAAAAAAAGACATTTTAGATTTGCTGGAGAATAAATAGCCACAGGCAGGATAGATGGGAAATATTGATACTTGCTCTTCACTGCATGATGTATACAATTACATTTTTAGATTGTAATTTCATTGCAGCACTTCGTTTTTGTCCTCTAGTAGAACAGTCTGTCATTAGTATGTATGAAGCGTATAACACTATAGAGTTTATTTAAAGCTGAACACAAGGTTTAAATATTTATGTACACTTGCATTGGTCTTGCTTAGCCCAATGCAAGTACAGATATTGTATATCTGGTAGGGCTACAGAGAACCTGTAAAATACTCTAGTAGACGAAGGTACAATAGAGTTGATTTAAAACTTAACTCCAGGTATAAATATTTATATATACTTACATTGGTTCAGCTTGGTCCTTTGCAAGTATACATATTTTATACCTGGTAGTGCCACTGAGCTCCTGTAAAGCACTATAGTGGCCAAAGCAACTACAGTGCTTTACAGAGATCTTGTACTGCCGCTTTGCAGAGCAACTTCCCTTCTACTTTGAAAAAATAGATGTTCACAGTGGTCATTCAGTGAACCCCCAGTATTCTTATCATTAAATACAATGTGTTCTCTGATTAGATTAGGGGAGGTGCTGTGATGTCAAAGTGCACATGGGTTTACCTTGTTTACAAACATCCACTTTGCAAAGTGAAGATTTACTTTCCTTAGTGAACAGCCTCTACTACTTTAGTAAATTAACACCATTGCCCTTAGCATCGTGGCAGTAATTCCAACCCTGGCTGCACTGCCCTGGAAAAGTCATGCAGCTGGTAAAGTCTTAAACGTCTTTTATTTCTACAGTGTCCAGGCACAAAGCAGAGTTCCAAGCTCTGGACTCCACATAGCTTAGTAATAGGGGTTGGAAAATGCAAATAGGCACCTGACATGAAACTATTGAGCAACAGCAGCATGGATGTAAAAAGTAAAATATTTTTCTACATTGCCTCAAAATATTGTGACACTGGGATTTAGGGGTCTATTCACGAAGTAGTCGAAGGATCTAGCCGTAGTTTCGGCCGATCCTTCGGCTAGCTTCGGCCCCAGGACCCCTTCGGTTCAGTAGAATCGAAGGGCTGCTGTACGGGCTATTCACTATAGCCAGTACAGCTCCCAAACTTGGCCGAGCGGCTCAGTCGAGCCGAAGGCATATGCCTCGGCTCGGCTGAGCCGCGCTGAAAGCCGACAGCCTGCTTGTGACAGCTGGGCGGAGCAAACCGTGATCTTACAGCTGGCTCTGGCCAATTGCAGAGAGATCAGCATCCCTGGTTACCAGCTAACCAGGGACACTGATCTCCAGACAGCCTAACTCTCCCGGGTCCTCCGGGAGTCTCCCGCTCCCGGCCGCCAAGGAGAGCAACACTGCTTTTGGCCATAGGAATGCATTGCTAGATTCCTATTGGCTATTTCAATTTGCAATAGCCAATAGCAAACTAGCATTGCACCCGCCCTCTGCTGCAGTTCTCCATCAGGTCCCCACTACTGATTGACAGCAGCAGAGGGCAGGTACAATAGTTAGTTTGCTATTGGCTATTGCAAATTGGAATAGCCAATAGGAATCTAGCAATGCATTCCTATGGCCAAAATGTTTTATTTTGTTTACTATTCTGACATGGCTCCGTGTCAGAATAAAAAAAAAAGAAAAAGCAGTGTTTCTCTCCTTGGCGGCCGGGAGCGGGAGACTCCCGTAGTGCCCAGGAGAGTTAGGCTTCTTTTTTTTTTGCTTTTTTTTGACGGAAGCAGAACCGCCAGCCAATAGAAAACTGTTGGGCGGAGCTTGCTGTCATTGCTAGCTCCGCACAATCGTTTTCTATTTATTTTTTCTACTTTTTTACCTATTTTTCTCTTCTGTGGGACCGAGCAGAACAGCCGAGCCGAATGCTACTCAGCGGCATTCAGCTATTCACTCACTGCTGTTCGGCATCTATAAGAATAGACCTGAACAGCAGTGAGTAGCCTGTCGGAGGTTTGGCTTAGACTATCCAGATGTTGGATCGGCTGAGTCGAACTCCTTCTGCGCTTCGGGATATTCGGCCGACCCAAAGCCACGTGAAGCCACCCGATGTACGGCTGATTTCAGCCAATATACGGCTGAAATCAGCCGTACCAGCCTGAAGTGAATAGCCGAACAGCGTTCAGCTCATTTCGCTTTAGGTCGGTCATTTACTCGGCTGCCTATGGCAGCTTAGTGAATAGACCCCTTAGTTTCACATGTAACAGAACTGATTTAAATCAACAGCTGGATTTATATGATGATTATAGTACATAACAATACACAACATCCTGTTTACATCAGTCGCTTGAAGTCTGAAAACCGCAACCTATTACAGTCAAAACAATGTCAGAGCTTTTTTTTTTAAATAATGCCATCCATAAAAGAGGGAGACTATAGACATGCTACTAAATGTTGATCTGACTTGTTGTCTTCTTCATGTGTGATTACTCTGTCCTCCCCGCAGTTTTTCCCAATGTTCTACATGAGCAGTTTCCAGAACGCATGTTGTCGAATGGAACTAACATCAGCTTTAGCTCTTGTCCCTTTTAGATTTATACTTTGATGTATTCATTTAAAATATCTACTATCTCTATCCTGATCACATTCTACATCACAGCAATGAAGTTTAGCATGCCAGGGAAGAGGAAAAATGTTTCTCATTTTAATATTTTTTTTAAAATAGTTTATATACAGTGTGTATATATATATTTAACACCTTCCCCCTCCGTTGCAAAGGTTGAATTTATAACATAATACAAGTGTAGCTGTGTAAACCCCTGTAAATCTATATTCAAGAAAGATCCAACCAGAAGAATGTAAATTTTAAAAAACGCTGATTGGAAGTTTGAATACAGTAAAAATTAATTAGTGAAAAAAAAACCCTCACCAGTAGGCATGAATTCAACTCCAAAATTTGTAAGGCAAACAAAATGCCCCAAAAAGCTATTATAAGAAAACTGGAACATTTTGCATGTTTTATTTGAGGTACATTTTAATCTCATTTCATCGCCAAGTCAAATTTGGAACAGATTTACAGACTTTTCCTGTGTACCAATGGAGCATGGTTTTATCAAAGTAGGTATTATTTGCATTTTAGTAATCCACCCTGTCTGTACTTATACAAATGAAGTAGAGTTTTCGTTTCAAGCAGCATAATGTATATGATGTAGTTAAATGTAATGTCTTTAAGGGAAATGTTAATAGCCTGAAAAACCATAATATTTTTCAAACTCAAATGCTCAGTCCAAGGTAAATTTTGCAATTATGCAAATTTCACCCAAATTTACTTTGTTGTACCAAATGAATACAGATTCATGGAGAAGGGGGGAAAAATCACTTAGAAATTTGAATCCAAAAAAGCTTCTATTACTGTCAGGAATGCATTATGCATAAATAATGCACAGATATATTGTGAGTGTAATAGAATGTGTATATATGTATATATCTATAATGTATGTACTTGTAAATACAAAACATATTTTCCCTATAGACAGTTTTAGCTATGGTTTCCCTAAAATAATGCGATTTGTTTAAGCAGGCTTTTCGATAAGTTCTTTCTGCAAAGCAGCAATGGATCTATAAGGTCAGCAGTTATCAAAGATAATATATTGATAGCAAATGGGATTTTTATTAACAAAATGTGCTGAGTTTTCATAGCTTGTGGTGCTACAAAAACTAGATGATTTTTAATAATATCTTGGCAGTAAAAGTGAAAGGAAACTTGAGAAATACAGCATACAATACAGCATGGCAAATAAAATTTAGAAAAAAACACCCACCTTAGAATGTATACAGTGGGTTTGGGTGAATGTGAAAGCTTTTAGATAAAGGCAAAGATCATTTTTGGAGCTTTCGGTTTGTTTTTTTACAGATTGTTCAATGGATTTCAATAGGTTTTATTAAACATCCTTTACTCAGTTTTTAACATTTTTAAATGTAAGGTTATAGTTTATGCATGTCGCCAAAAATCAGTATAAAATGCACAGGAGCAAAAGAGGAGTGACATTTAATATGAGTGCCTAGGTCTGCAGCCCCATGTGTCCCGAGGAAGTGTGACTGGGGACTGAGTAAGGGCACAGCCACACATAAAAATATATTCACTTTGTTTGTGTGGTTTTTACTGTTAGTTTCTTTTTAAAAACTTCCTGAAAAAAAGCTTTTTTTTTTCACAGTGAAATGATTCTGATTGGGGTGATGCTGTATGTAAGCCAAGCTAATTGTGAAAGTAGAAAGCCAGTTTTGTGTCTAAATATGCATTACCAGTGTACACTGTCGCTGACACTGTATGGTGTAGATCATTCTGTTTTAGAACACCATGTACATCTTTGAAGCATCACCCAAGCAACACTGCCTGCCAAACGCAACACGGTGTTAAAAATTGGCCGTGGCATGTGTACAATCATGAATAGCCTCTATATCAAAGTGACACTATATTAAATCTTAAAAATGCATTCAAGTACATTAACTTGTAACAAAAACGTAGCTTGTTTGTGTATCACATCGCTGTAGATCCTCAAATCATCTCTGAATTGGTGCTGACACTGTCCTTTCTTCATTGGCTCACTCCAATGATGGACTACAATCTCAATACAAATTAGTAAACTAAACGTGCGATTGCAGTCCATCATGAGAGCACGTTTGGAGCTGTGGCTACTTTACAACACACACAGGGACCATGGGAAACAAAAAAGCCATCCTCCATAAGGAAGGGCAGAGTCAGCATGAATTCAGAGATTTAAGGATCTACAGCGGAGT